AGCACGCCTGTATGTGACCAGTGTAAAGCAATCAGATATTGGGGAAAAAAAACTACAAGGGTATAGAAAAGCACCTCCCTGCTGCTCTGTCACACAAGACTCTGGGCTAGGAAAGGGCTCTATATTTTCAGACTGTGTGCCTGAAACAGCAAAACACTTTTTTTTATCCTGTCTTGCACTGATACTGCCTGCTTAGATCAGGAGGTTCTCTGTGCAGCGTCTAATATGTGCCTTGAAATTGTCCAGTTTGAGCTAGTAACTCAAGAAGAGCGGCTCAACACACTGGAGGCTGAGATCAGGACTGTTTCCAGTCTTGGTTCCTACTTTCAAATAATTATTTCCTTTCCTTTAAAAAGCAACGTGAAAACAGACTTTACTGCAGTTCACAAACGACCAGTACACATCTTTCTTTCCTCCCTCTTGTGCAAGAAGCTAATAATGCACCTGCAAAAGGAGTTTGGCATGGCTGAGGAGCCACACTTCAGCACACAGCAAAGACTTAGCACAAAGGCAGCATCGTTTCAGACTTCAAGGCTGCAGGTCTTACTGGTGCCCGCCTGAGGAAATACTATTTCTTAAAACCATTTAACACTAGGAAAGCATGTTCTGAGAAAAACAACAGCAAAAGACAAAGCGCACTGTGCTTGAGAACAAATCCTCCCAAGTGCACCACGTGAGAGCCACAAACTAAAGAAACATTTCCTGCTTCAGAGGCAGGTTTGGGCTCCCGTGCTGCCACAAAGCCTATCCACATTAAGCATTTAGCAATGGGTGCTATATCTGCTCTACCATGTCACTCGGCTCTTCAATATTCTCTTTGTTCTATTTCTTGCCCAGAACTCAAATTTATCTTAATCTTTCCTGACACTGGAAAGAAAAAGAAAAAAAAACCAACCATAACTTCCTCACATCTCTGAAATTAAAATTGAACTTCACACCAGGATTATCACTTTGAGTGGCAACATCAAAAAGAGAAAAGACAAACGATAACAGTTTGAAACACTAAAATAGAAGCACTTCATTTTCTATGGAGTTTGCTTCATTCATTAATTCAGCCAAATAATTGCTTTGTCTTTATTTCATTAGCTTTGCTCAAAATAGCAAACAGCAAGAGCGGTGGCAAACAGAGGGCAGAGCATCACAAGCTGCAGGCAGAGCTCCTCCATTCTCCAGGCACCCAGCCTGGCCTTGCTGCACCAAAGCACAGCCACACAAGTAGCAATGCTAACTTCTCACCCATGTCCAGAAGCACAAACAGCGTAAGCCGTTCACTTGCAATCACTGCACAACCCCAGCCCACCCCCACCTTGCCCACATCCCTCAGTGCCACATCTCCATGGTTCTTGAACACCTCCAGGGACGGTGACTCCACCACTCCCCGGGCAGCTGTGCCACTGCATCACCACTCCTGAGAGTTATTTTTCATAATATCCAACCTTCAGAAAGATCTGAGGATGAAGTAATAGCACGAGCACTAACAGACAGTCACTAACACAGTGCTGGATTCTAAAACAAGTAAAGAAACACAAAAGGTAAAGAAACCCAAATAACCTCATCCCTGCCTCCTTCGGGACATCCTCCCCAGAGCAGAGCCAGGCCCAGCTGGACACCCGGAGATGGGATTCCAAACACAGCACTGCCCCCTCTATCCATGCCAAAATACTTCAGGAGGCAGTGACAGATGGGCACATAAGAATTTACAGAGGACTAATCTGTAAATCTGTGCCAACGGTACCTTTTCTATAGCACACATCTTCAGACTGCATGAATACTTCTTTCAGATATACTGCATGCAGTCACAGAAGCACCATCCTTCTCTGCTCTTGTTAGAGATAAAGTAGAACCAAATTAAATTTTTGGCCAGAAGATCTATCCATCAAACAGAAAACAACCACTCCCAAAGCCAAGTAAAGTACAAGCTGCCAAAACCACCAGGACCATCTATTTTGGGTAAGTTTTCCAGGACAGCCAAGTAATTGAGTCAGGTGTACCTTTTTAAATTCTCTCCTCCCTTTTCTTTAATTATTTTTTCAGCCTTTCACTTTACTGGAATTATATGATGGTGCTTAAGACTTGGTGAACTTGGCTGTTTTCCTAAGCAAATAATTATCTCTATAAAAAACACCATGATTCACGAATGATGCTCAGTCAGCTTCTGCAAAGGAAGATGCTCCCCATAGCAAACACCAGTTCCACATTATCCTCCTGTCTCCACCACCTACTGAAAGCAGTGACAAAGAGATGCTGTGAACACATGAGGATGCCTCAAGGAATGGGTCTATGGGCACTACCAGATCATTTTTTTTTTTTTTAAATCTGACTTTTGTTGCAGCACCCTGTCATTGCTGCTTTCCAAGCAGGAAACACAGTGGAGTTGCACACTTGGAAGAAGTCAGTGTCTGCACTTACACATGCTCTGGATTAAATGCATTCTTGGAAACTTGGTGACAAGGAAAGCCCCAAGAGCCATCTCTGATCTTCTTGTTCTGTAAATCCATATACCTTCAATTGCTAGAGAGGAAATAGAACTATCCTATTTCCCATTTTCCTCTGAAAGCAGTAGAAAGATTTGACTTCATCTCACCCTGCAAGCAACAAGTCCTTACAGTTTAGCCTCCAGTATGACTTTCATCCACACAATGGATTTATGCTCAGGTCCAACAGTCCTGCTCAGCCTTGCTTTAAGTAGCCAAGAACGGCCACAGTCGTGCATAGACATGAACTGCCATGCTGCTCAGTAAATGCCCAATCATTTAGTGATCTTGATATACCATTATTTTCATCATCAGCTTTGTTGAAGACAATACTGTTTGCCATTTTACTCCTGTTGCTTCTGAGGGGCCTCACAGCCCTCCAAGAGGAGTCACACCTCCTCAGTATACCTTTGCACTCCCTTCTGACAAAGAGAAAACTTTTCCCAAATGAATCTGATTTGCATATATCCTTCAGTCCTCTGTCAAAGCAAAGCTGTGGGGCATGTCTCCCAGGAGAAGAAAGGCTAAATTACCTTTTAACATTGTGTGCATGGGCAAATGCAAGACCAGTTACCATAACCCAGAGTTTATGTGCAGACAGAAAGAGGTGCACCATTTTTGGACAGATGCAGAACTGAAAGTTGAAGTAATTCTATGTGGCTCGGCCAGATTTATATAGAAAATGAATTTCACTGGAAAACTGAACACAGGTCTTCCCTGCCCTGCTGCTATGCCCTGCCAAGTGGACGTTCTTTCTTCCACTCTTATTTCCTAGCCCTCTGAAAATAAGAGAAACAAACCACATCGCTGCTATGGTGAGAAACCACTGCTTTTCGCTATAAATAAAATCACACCATTTGACTTCCAGTGTCAATCATAGCTTATGAGCATCAGGATACTCTACAAACCCACAAAAAGCACTGCTCACCACTGCCTTCGCTCCCACCTTTCCTTCCCAGCATCACCACCACATGCTATAACACTGGACTAGGACAGGGGCTGCCCCTGCACCTCATCCCCCACCAGCTCAGGTCCAAGCCAACGTCACTGCTATTCATCTCACCTGTTGCCTTGAGCCAACACTGTGTGAAGAAACCCCCACCCCTTTGCAGCCAACAGTCTCTCTTCCCCATCCACGTGACCCACGTTTTCCCCAGTGCATCATGTCTTTCAGAATAGCTCCATTTAGGTACATCTAAGGCAATGTGCTAGCCTGGGGTTTCCTTCTACCTGTGGGCATTGTTCTCTCCTCCTTTGTCTAGCTCTGGTTACTAAACAGGAGATAATAGCAACAAAAAAGTGACAGTCTTGTGAGATGCCCTTCAAGAATTTGTTGTTCTTCCTTCTAGTGGTCAGTTACAGACATGCAGCACAAAAAATAAAATGCAGTTGTGCAACTGTTACCTCAGAAATAGGCAGTGGGACCTCAGAGGCACACAGATCCACATGAGATCTACCCAGTTTTGTTTTGAAAACATCTACTCAGAAAAGAAAAAACAGCTGGATACATATTGATTCAGGTTCAAAAGTTCTAAGAGGACACAGCTGCACAAAGCAGAGCTCTCCTGTGCGTCACCCAAAGGAAGCCGAGTGCTTCACTAGCAGCTATTGGGGCCCCAGCACACAGCAGGCTACAGGCTCAGCAGGAGTGGCATAGCTCCCCAAAGGGTCGCAGCAAATCACAAGCTTAGATGCAAACCCTTGTTTGAAATACACATGTGTTTCCATAATGGAACAAGAGAAAGCATTAAAAACATTAGAAATCCAACAGTCCAAGACTGCAGATAAAGGGCAGCGGAGCAGATCTTGCCCTGATTCTTGGCCTCCATACAAGAGATATCCCCCAAACACAGTCGAGGCCACAGCTAAAACAAACAACAACCATGAAGTTGGCCTGAGGAAAATAATCTGCCTTTTTCAGAGGCCCATTTCAGACTTCCTGGGCTTCTCCAGCACAGCTCACATCCATGTGTTCATCAGAGTCACAGTAAACAACAGGGAATTAAAGCCACCACACAATAAATGATAGTTATGGAAAAAAAAATATCTGCCCAGATACCTTTTCAGGAATTCTAGGATTTTTTTTGGTGGAAAAATTGCCCTACGTTTCCTGTGCAATGTGAACTCTGGAAACAGAAATGCAGTGAAGTAGATGGGAACCATTATGGAATAAAAGTCACCCAGAAGTTTTAAACACGTTCTACACACTCACTTGCCCTTCAAGAAGCACTCAGATGAAAAGTACACGTGGCAAAAACAATCTGTTTCAAGGACAACCTCAGATAAATAAACCAGGCTGAGTGTGACACAGCTCCCCAGGTCCAAGATCAGAGCAGGAGCAGAGCAGGTGGACTACAGCACATGAGGTTAGCAACAGCCCTATCCTAACTTCCAGCCAATCAAGAATCCTCTATGTGTAGTAGCATGCAACCTGTATGGGGAATGCCAATTGTTTTGGTAACTGATGGCAACAGCATACACCAGAGGTGAACCCTTTATAGAAACAAGCCAAAGGAACTCCCTTACCTTCTGTGAAGCTGCCGGTAAGAGTAATGACGACAAACACTTTACCTTCTGGTTCCAAATCCACCTGAAAAAGCAAAGGCAACATTAGGAGATTGTTTTTCAAGGCAGAGAGTCTTCTTATCAGGATTTTTCAGGACAAGTCCTGCCAGCATTTGATAACATCCAAGCTGCATCTGGCTCCGAGCAGCCTGGTCTAGTGATTGGCAATCCTGCACACAGCAGGGGAGTTGAAACTAAATGATCAATGTGGTCCTTTTCAACCCAGGCCATTCTATGATTCTATGAACATGTGAAGCTCCACATACTCCTGTGCACACCCTTAACGTTACAAGAAATTAAGCACCCATCCATCACCCAAATAGTTCAGCATGTCCATGAAAAAGGACGAATCAAGTCCCCAGTTTTTAAAGGAGCCCTCAATGTTGAACAGTCTCAACCATGCTAGAATAACATCCAATTCTGTCAAAAGATCCATGTATAAATGCACGGTGAAGTATATGCATATTTTTTCCCTATTATATCCTATCCCATTAAAAATGTTTCAGTCTCTCAAAATACCATAATTGCTGGGGCAAACTCCTATTTCTGATATCAATCACTTTTTCACTTTAGACCACAGAAAATAGGAAAACTAGGGTTGTTCCCTGAAGACTTTTAATCTAAATTAGAGACACAGAATGTTATTTTAGCAATTAGAGATTCAATCCCAGAGTTTACCAACTTACCTTTGAAAGGAGGTATTTATTTTTTTTGGTTAGCAGCTTTCTAACTTCCAGTTGGAATTTTTAATTAAGATCTTGCTCCTGTTTTTTGCTAAAACCTACTTGGTGAACAAAGTCACAGCGAAGAAATACCTGAAGTTTGCGTCAGGCTCCTCACATAGGAATCTCACTTAAATAAAGGCACGCTCTCCCCAAGGAAGGATAAAATTAGCAAAGAGGAGCTTCACGCCTCGTGGGTACTGTTGATCTGCAGAACGGGAGCTCTGAAAATAGAGCTCTCTCAGTGGAATGACTAAACGTGATCATTTCTAACTGCATTTGCTCTCGTGCTGTCACCTTTTCTTGGTTCAAAGCCTTTTTTGCTGAAGTAGAGAAATTGTTCTCAAGTTATTAGGAATTTGTTAGTATGAGTAGAAGTAATACTGTTAAGGAAAGGAAGAGAGAACATCTTACTGACATGACTTCAGCTACAGACCAGAAGTGACACCCCTATTAATAGGATGCAAACCACAGGAACTAGAACTGCTTGGGAAAACCCCGTCATAATGTTAATTTTATGGGTGCCATACTTTCCAATCCCTAAAGAAGACCTACACCTCAGCAAAATTTTAAGTATTTAGCTTTGACTCAGAATTAATTTTCAGTTTGCCTGGACTGACTACTGAACTGGCTGTGTTTGAACAGCCCTCTGCCTCAATTAATAAGGAAGACACGTCCATAGAAACAAACTTCTGTGGTATCACACACCTTTTTTTGCCTAAATTCCAGTTTACTGTGGAGACATGTAACTTTGTACAGGAAGAGTTAAAACAAAAATGTACAGTAACATATATATACAATCACCCAAACTGATCTATGGGTTGTCATGATTTCAAGTCATAGGTCCTATCTCTGTGAGGCACCTTGCTTTCCCTTCTGTAAATGAGATTCCCCTGCACTAGCTAGCACAATCTCACAAAACAAGGGAAAATGTTGTGAAAGTATTAGCAGGAGATTTAGGAGAGTTATAAAACAATCTCTCTTCCTCCGAACTTGGAGATTAAAGACCACTGAGATCCCCTATACCAACTCAGCAGACATGCTCGCATACTGCAAGTCAAGAGAGCTCAGGTAAGAGGATGTTGCTGCACTCAAGATCTACTCATGGTGCATGTTGGTAGGATCTAGATCTAACAAAACACTGCAGCTGGAAGGCTCCAAAATGAGGACTGAAGCCCTAGAAGGTGTCTTTGACAGAGCAACACCCGCAGGGCGTAGGGCTGGCAGTGAAACCAGCAGCCTATGTTGCACAAGAGGTCAGGCCAGGCCATCTTAATAGACTTTCCGGTCTGACACGGATAGCAGCAACAACAGATAAGATACAACAAAATAAAATAATTAATATACTGATACAGATGAAATCTGACCAGCAAACCAACAGCCAACACAGCATCTGAGATCAGTTCAGAGATACGCTGCAAGTACCCGAAACAGAAAATAGACTCTGACACAGAAAACCAAAAGCAAAATGAGACTCCCACACCTGATCACAGACCTGCCCAAGACGAGGAGACAGCAGCTCCCAACAGCATCACCCATCCAATGGGTCACGGTTTGTTTCAGTGCTGCACAGGCTGTCCTGTCCTACGGCTGTGCGATGCAGAGGGGCCCTGTGCCAACTCCTTGGGACGGGATCTGCAATGCTCCTGTAAACCAGTGCTCATGGGATGAGAAGCTTCTAAACCAAGGCCCCAGGGCTAACCTCCACCATCCCCAGCTATGCACCTTCATTATCACCTCCACACATTCTTTTCTTCCTAGCATTATCTGTGGCTGCTCAAAGACAAGGCCTATGTTTTTGCAGAGAAACGGGAGCCACAATATTATTGTTGACAGAGCTAGTAAAGCCAAAAGCCATGAGAAGGTGAAGCCAGTGGTGGGGGGGGGCTCAGAGAAAAACTCAACAGCATGAAGACAGCAAATATGACACTAAGAAGGAGCTGTGTATGAAGTGGGAGCAGGCAAACTTTATCATCTGTATGCATTTGAAGACAATCTCCATAGAGCAAGAAGTGACATTAGAAGCATGTGCTTCTATGGAGAAAAGTTTCCTCATGCCAAGATCAACTTGGCACAGGATAGCTTTCTTTAGGAAAGCATAAATTATGTTGGTAAGGCCTAGCATCAGAGCAGAAAATACACCACAGTAGAAGTACCAGATACTGAGAGAAGCAAAGAAGCTGGAATTTTTCTGCACATGTAGTACTGAGAATGCAACAGGGTAGTGACCTCCAAGCTGCTGGTGTGCAGCACGGTGAGCAGTCATCAGGGTGCACCAGCAGGAGATGGGCATGTATAGCTGTAAACAGCCATTGTGCTCCCCTGTCTGGTGCTTTCACCCCCAGCCTGCTCCTCCAGAGAACAGCTGGGTGAAAAACATGGACTTCCTGGCTGTTTCAGAGGTAATCTGGCAAAGTTTTAACTAACTGGGAGAGCAGCATGAACTTTTCAGAGCAGTAACACCTTTAATCACCACTCTTCTTGCTCATGGAAAAGGAAGAGGGCATGGTGGATGCCCCCACCCCATGAGATATTGGCTTTGAAGGATCTTTAGAGGTCCCTTCCAACACCAAGGATTCTGTGATTCTCTGTCACACAAAGCATGGATAAGACTGACTGTTCAAGCTCAAGAACTCCTTTCAGATCCATTAGAGCACCACTGGATTTTGGCTGAGAGCTAAGCATATACTTTAACTTCTGATGAACTTTACAGACGTACCGAAAAGAAAACAAGTGCTGGAGGATTTTGGCAAGTGAGCTGGAAATGAGCAGGTAAGGAGTGATGAGCTCAGCTATGGTTTCATGGCCGCCTCATTGTGAAACACAGTACTCTGGCAGCCAGGCCCAGCGCAGGAGCACAGAGGACTTCTGTCAGTAGTTCAAACTGCTCACAGCAGCCCATGCCCAAACTTGCTCAGATTGCTCAGCTCCGTGTGACTTCAAAAGGAGCTGGGAGAGATCTGGTTCCCACAGGAGGGGCCCAGTCAATCATCTCACACACCTTCCCTCAAGATGATGTTAGTGTCATTCCTGACAGCTGGGCAGGTGTTATTAACCCCCCCCTCCCCTTCTCCCTCACCTGTGTGTAAAAAACAAACCCCAGTTTAGGCGCAAACGAGGGAAGAGATGCAGAGAGACCAAAACAGGACTCCTTAATCGTATGCCTCCACACGTATTAAAAAAAAAAAACAACTAGTCGTGCGTGATTCATCAATGGAAGAGAGGTTTGGAAAACAATTTCAGAAGGAGGTAAGGTATCAACACCCAGCTGAAGCATCTGCTGAACCCGAAGAGCAGGTATAGTCAGTCAGCCTTGCCATGAGCTCGGCCTGCCTCCCAAACCCTGCCTGTGGACGGGAGGAGCTGAGGCTGGCTGCTGCCCCTACGTCTCCACAAAGCAGAGCCGTGAAGGTGGGAGTCAGCAAACTTCTGGGGTGAAAAGACATTGGCAGCAGCGCATCTGGCGTGAACAGCAGCTCTTTTAAGACTTCTTCTTTTAACTCCCTTCCACTGAATACATAACCCTGATCTGAACCACACCGAAATCATTGGGAACCCTTTTACTGTCTTTGAATCAGACACAAACGAAAACTGCATTTACCCCGGAGCCCAAAACATCCTTTCTCCCATTGCTGTTCCATCCTTTCTTCCCCACAGGCACAATTAGTAAGCCTCCTAGAAGTACAACCTTCTCCTGAGCCCATGTCAGGGCTGACGTGGCTTCACAAGCAGAACAAGCCAGACACTTGCAGTGAAAAAAGCAAATATAAAAGCTACCTGGGGAGTTAATTAGCTTAATTAAACAAGTTAGCTATATCTTCTGACTTCCTACATCATTTTTACATTTAATTAACAGAACTGCATATATAATCACTCATTTGCAGAAGCAATTCCCAAGGCTCTGTTCAGTCTGGAAGAATCTGGGTTAGTCTAAAGCTGGTTTTTCACATGCCTCTAGTTACCTCTTTTCTTTTTTCTTGCTTGAGTTCCTAACAGGTCATGCTTATGGAATGCCAGTTCTTTCTGTATTTTAATAACATAGCACCTCCACCTGAGTATGCCTTTGTCAGACAGGTCAAGTCATAACTTTCTTACCCAAACACATGTTTGGACTCATCAGTCCCTCTTGGACATTTGAAGCCTGAAAGACACCTGTTTATCAAGTGAAGCACCTTAGAAAAAAATCTCTAAGTCTCTCTAATTGAAAGAGAATTTTGCATTTCCACACCACCAGCAGATTAAGGTGCTTTTTCCTACAAATGTACAGTATGCATTAGTTAGGATTCAAACCAGTGTGCCTAAA